ATGACTATGACTATATGACTAACAAACGAGCATATAGTACACATGATGGTAAGTGGATGCTGTGGCCTATAGATACCTACAACTTTCCTCGACTGACAATCAAAATTTAAATGCGTTATCACCTCTGAGGACTAAGATAAAATATTTCATCACCAGTAAAAAAGACATTCGGTTTTCTACCCTCCCCATACGAAACACAGCATCATTAAGCTACTACTATTTTACGTTTATATTCTGTAAGAGTGACAACTTTTCCGAGTCGAACCGACCCATTCGTGCTAAAATCATAATAGAGCTGCAGTATAGCTCTACCACGTATAAATTTACAACCTTTTAGAAACGAAAAAAATAGTATAGTTTATAAACTTATTTTAGTAGTAACTTACTTTAGTCTAGTAATTTTTTTATCTCTTTTAATATGTAAACTGAATCACGATACAGGTTTATTTTTCCTAAAGCAGCCAAATTTTAAACTTATGTTCAAATATTATATAAACAATGATATACCGTTTTTGCAGTTTTTGAAAATAAGAGTAAATAAGGATTCTACTTTATTTGAAAATATCTCAAATTGAATGTCTCAAAATGGAATTTACAGGCAACAATGCTTTTGCCTACGGATTGCCTATGCCCTACGAAAAAATTACAGTTAAATATAATGCATTACCACCCATTTTGAATTTAGCGTTTAATAAACGTTAGGAAGGACGGAATGATTAAGAAGGATAGATTTTTTTCTGTTAATTTTCTTCACCATTTGCCTGTATTACTTATTCTGAGCCTTCTCTGCAAATTCAGTCGGTTATTGCAAAACAACCTTGTACAGTGTTATATTTAGATTTGTGTTCAACAAAAATAGATGTTAATAATAATAATAAATGAAGAAAAAAACAAGCATTAGCAAGCCGGTGATAATTTTCTGTCTAAATGAATTCCATTGATTAAGGTGATTTAGTTTAAGTCAACGGAATACAGCTAAATACAAAATGTATATGAAATGTTTATTATTGCATTAAAGTCGAGAACAGGGCCTCAAAGACAAAGGAATACAAAAGAAATTAGGCAAAATTGATTACGCTAATGTATAACCTAATTTATTTTAAACGCTTTCAAATAATCTTATAAAGTAAATTGCTTAAAAATAAATCTTTATCCACTTTTTAGCTTTCACAAATGTGATTAGATTAATACATTGAAGGTTATTTAATATAACGTGGTTTATGATATTTTTAAAAGTGATGCATAATTTGAACTTAGATTCGATTTTGTTATATCTATATTGTAATATCACCCCTTCATTTTTTTATTACTCTTATGGCTATTTTAAGCGAGTTATGGTTATCTTTAAGGCCTATGTTTACTACTGGACTTTTAAATAGGTTTCATGATGATTAGGTTGAATTATTATCAAGTTGTAAATTCGCTAGTTGCCAAAATGACTGGTGGAAGTCTTATTACGTCGCTTAGGCTAGATTACTATTTTGGTGGTAGTAGTGGATTCCATAAGGAAGTTGTGCAAGGAAGAAAATTTCTTGTTGATCGCTCAGTGATGGACCGCCAATCATCCAGATTGTATGGATGGTACCGCGAGTTTTGTCGTGATGTGCGATGGTGAATTTGAGTGGTTAGGATTAGTCCGAGTAATTTCTCAGAGTTCTACTCGTGACAGATTCAATAAAATACGGAAAGAGATACAATCTCTATCTCTAGCCCAGAGATGGGAACAGTATTCCATGACAGGCTGAACCTGAACCTTTTAAAGTAGCAGGCGGTGTGCCGGCATGAAATACTGTTCCGCTCTGCTGCGCACCCCAAGCTTTTTAGAGGCCAATTTGGCCTTCTCTTCCAAGTGACCAGGAAACTGCACGTCACTCGATATGTCGACGACGAAGATTCCGATACTAGCTGAAGCAACGAGGAGAGTGCCCTGAAACTGAGGAGATAAAAGGTGTTCTTTTTAGTGGTGAAGGTGCAAACTTGTGTCTTCTAGGATAGGGTAGATTGATCTGGACTAGATTTAGTCACCCCTTCTCCAAGACTTTGGACAACAAAAAAACACAAGTTTGCTTCAGTACTTGGCGACGTTTTGCCGAGAAATATTGGCACGGCCGTTGTTTAAAGCATCTTCTTTCTACTTTTAATTTTTTTCACATTAGTCTGTAAAAAATGTTATTAATTATTTGTTTAATTTAATAAAAATTATCCCTAACATTTTGAAGTGTTTTTAATCAACTTTTTAAATGACCTGGAATGGAAAATTATGGATGGAATAGAGATCGCTGTTATCATCAGTCTTGTACCAGAGATGCTTCTGGCCCTTAAAGCCTACAATTAATGGACTTCGTTTCAAAGTTGCCGCATGAAAATTAAGTCTCTTTAAGAAAGCACGATGCGTGAAACGTCAGAAGGGCTACTATTTCCAACCAGTACTACTAGGGCCACAGATTCTATGCGTGAGCGTTCCGTGTGCATTTGTGCTCTGCAGCTCTGCTTTTATGCGGCCAAGGTATTATTGAAGAAAAAAGTTTAATGCCTCCGTGGTGCAGCAACTTCAAATAATTTTTCCAGTTCTGCATGTGTATCCTAGTACAATTTAGACATTTATACCGCCTCTATAATTCAGGAGAAAATCATATTAAGCGGGTAATTTAAAAAAGTATATAAACGTAAAAAAGTATAAAAAAACGTAGAAAATTTTGTAAAATTCAATACTTTACGATGTAATCATTTTAATTTAGTAATGTTAGAGTCAATGCATGGTTACGATTTAACCGAATCCACGAATCTTTTATACTACGAGTCAGAGCTGCGGATCGTGGTAGTAAGTTGAAGTAGCAATATTTAGAGATGCAGGATGTCGATGAACGCAGGTTGCTTAGAAACATGCTTTGTGGCATTTCTTTGGAGAAGCTTAACCGTATATACAACAGTGGACTACTGATGGTCTCTAATCATGATAATGATAATGACCGAATTTCAGTTACGGTGGCTATTCTCAATGAATACTAGCCATTCACGCAAAATTTTATTTTGCCCGAGCAGTTGTAGTCTTGAGCGGAATTTTGCCCCCTCAGAATACGCAGGTCAGCCGGAGCACCCACGCTCAGGAGTGGAGTAACTTGGTCGTGGATGCTCAGTGAGGGATTCTCCAGGGGTACTTCTCCTGGGGTAGATTAATTTCTCTTTGCGGGGGGGGGGGATTTGGGCCTCCGGCCACCCGCACTCACCAGACGTAACGCGACTTTTAGACTTTGTTGACTTTTAATAAAATTTTGCTAGCAGTGTTTTCTTTGTTTTACTTTTCTTTTTGTAAAATAAATTAATATATGGGTTTGTTTGAGTAAATTGGCTTTTTATTAATAGGTTATATTATATATAGAACATCTATACATAAATCCATACCTCATAAGTACATTAATTACCATATCAATTTTATATCAAAAATAATTTTAAACATTAAATCTGAGCTGACACCATACATTATAAATACTTATAAAAGTAAATGAGACTTAATGTTAAACAAAAAGATAACGACAACCCTACAACAGTAGGCATTTAAGTCTCGCGCGGGAGGGAGTAATCCTACTATTCTGTTTTTACTATGGTAAAGGTACGAGAGTCCAACTCATAGCCGTTATATAAAACTATTTGCACCGCGTCGCATGCCATTTTGCAAGTGATCGTGCCAGTCAATTAAACTCCCACAAAAATTCCGAATCGCAGTTTATTTTAATGCAAAAAACAATAAAAACTATCAAATCTACAAAAGGACAACGTGACTTTTCATCTGTGAATATTTTAAAATATTCACAGATTCAAGGTTTATGGTGCTTCCCATCACCATTGAGCACTATGGTCACGGGGGACTGATGTGACTGACTTTCCGATGTCAGTGTTAACCCGAAATACCTTCAGCTTTTTAATAATTATGTACTCGTATGATCCGATCTACGCATCGATTCCCTCTTGTCAATAAGTTAGATTTTAAAATTTTTGTAACATCGAGAAAAAACATATTGAAAGAAAATCATGATTTAATATCCTCTGGGTGACATTGAATAAAGAGGAAGTTTCACGGTGTCTGCCTCCAGAGTGTTGACAGAGACAAATTATAGTCACTCCATTTAAAGGCTATCACTTACGCGTTGATTGAAATACAATATACATGTCTTCTATGAAAACATATGATTATCATCACTTATAGCGCAATATTTCACGTGTCAAAATATATAAGTCATAAATATTTTTCGGATGCTTAATATTATCCAGCAATGGATAAAACGAGAATATCGATAAGGCTGTTCTTTTCTATAGTTACTTTCACAAAAAAATTCTATGGTGTATAAAAAAGCTAAACATTGGCTGCAACCTTCTAAAAGAGAGATGGTGACATTCCTAAAGCTGTTTTCTTATTGTTCTACGCTTTGCGATTACTTTTATGCTATTGTGCGAGGAACGAAAGGTCGAACCAAAGGAAAAGTTTAATTATTTTGGCCGGCGACTTTCTACCTTGCTGAGAGAATACTTGTTAATTGTGTTCAATTTCTAGACCTGTAAATATTTTGGTAGCATAAATTAGGTACATTCACATTTATATTGAAGCAAGAACATTTGTGTATTCATATTAAGATGCTGAAATGTGAATGCTGAGCAGTGCCGGAAATCACTCAATTAACATTTGCGTATCAAGGAAGTAATAAAAAATTGAAGACATAAGTTTCTGAATACAGTGTCGTACAATCTGAAGTACAGCAAGGAAGTGTTTTGAGACCATTGTTATTTCTTATCTTTATAAGGGCTTACTTGCGGTGCTCACTTCCTTGCGGTACTAAAAATAGCGGTATAAAACAGGAAGGTCGTTGATATAGATCAACGACCTTCCTAGTGTCATTAATCACAAAATAGTTTTATTTTATTTACTGACAAAAGCACAGTTATTTTCACTATTTGAAAATTTTGAAAGTAACATAAGTTTCCCTTTAGAGAAAATAGTGAAATGGTTAAATATCTTCTACTTCTTCGAGTGCCTTTCCGACCAATGAAGGTTTGTAGTCAGCTTCGAATACACCTTCTTGTTCTTCGCGAGGTAAAAGAGCTCGACAGCAGTCACGATTCCCGTCCATTCTCGGATGTTGCTTGCAAAAGTTCATATCTTTCATGCTTAAGCACGTATCTGAGAAATGTAACTTTTTTATCTTGACAGTCTCCAAAACCTGCAGAACTTCTAAGTTCAAGATCTTTTGAGTCCAACTAATGGCCAACATATGTCTACATGCCTACATCTCGAAAGCTTCTATACGTTTCATGAGGTCTTCTTTAATTATCCTCGCCGCACATCCGTAAATATGTATGTTATTATACGTGGTAGAGCCATGGTGCAGTTGTATTAGTAGTATAGTTGTAGCACGAATGGGTCGGCTCGACCGGGGAAGGACCACGCTCTCACAGAATACCAGCGTCAAATAATAGCTTAATGCTGCTTTGTTTCATATGGTGAGTATAGAGAACCGGAGACCCTTTTACTGGAAAGGAGGCATTCCATCTTAGTCCTCACGGGTGACAACTCATCTGCATTTTGATTCGTAATCTAGGATAGATGTAAATGTCTATGGGTCACAGCAATCACTTACTATCAGGTGGTGTGTGCTCGTTTGTCACCCTATCCCATAAAAAATAGGCCATATGTAGTAATGTAGGAGTCGTATGCGCACAGGGATGTTAATTCTGTGATTTCAGAGTACGTTTTTAACGTGCAGAAGGTATTTCGAGCTATTTTTATACGAATCTTTACCTCCTGTTCACAGCTCCAGGTGTCAAAAATCCACAACCCTATATATTTGTACTTGCGCACCCTCTCAATTATTTGACCAGCTACAATGATAGCAATATCATCGAAGCTATGTTTAGATAATAAGATTTTCGTTTTTGATGTGTTCCTCCGCAGACAAGCGTTTTCATTGCACTCATTAACTCGGGTCATTATCAAATGCAAATTTACAGGAGATGATGCTATTTTAACTGTATTGTCAGCGTATCTGATGTTGTTAATATACCGGCCATTTATTTTGACTCCACGTTTGACACAGTTATTATTTATACTTATTATCATTCTTAAACAAAAATGCTCACGACTTCTTAAGAGGCGTAATAAAAGTTTATGTTAGCCAGTCTTTAGGTCAGTAGCCAGTGTCTTATACCAAATTAAAAATTACCAGGAAGTCAATATTTTCTCCTTTAATAAGTGATCCTCTATGTGAACATTATCCGGCCTGGTCAATTTATACGTTTTAGCTCATTTTTGTCACAATTTACCGCTATGCTTCGAAAATCATCGGCAAATATTGATATGATATATTGTTGGTTGGAAAAGTGTTTTTCTTTTTCTGATCTAATATGGGAATATTATTTTCGTCCGTAAATTGGTGAGTGGTCTTTTGTATCCTACCAATGATTTTATTTCCTTATGCAGGTTAAATGCATCATGTTTAGCTTAAAGGTCCTCCACAAAAACATTGTGAACTTGTATTGATACCAAGCCTCTCGAGCCTAACGAACTACACGCCGATTTTTTTTTATCAATCTCAATATACTCGTTTTTGTCAGAATTCTTGTGGGTTCTCCTTTCTTCCATAAAATTATACATTTGTTCTGTCATCCAACTTTGCTTAGGAATCCATTCTATCTCTTTTCAAGTGTGTCTTATTGATGTTTAATATTTTGTTCTTCATTGAACACTTCCTCTTCCTCCACCGTACGCATTATATGGTTAAATATAAATAATGTAAACATAAATTTAGTAAAAACCAAAAGTAATGACCTTCTGTCAAAAATATATTAAATTAAATATTTTAAATATTAACTATTTAGGACAAAAAAACAATAGAAAATATTAAGTTGTGGGTATAAATGTAGATTGTAACTTGAACTGGCAGTCTCATGTGAGTAGCGTGTACTAAGTCAAATCGTTTTTCCTATGCGTTTTATACTCTTGGAAAAGTTGGATTATATTATAGGAGAATCTGAGAGCCTTCATTTATTTTTAAGAATCAACTTATACTATTTTCAACCAAAAATGCTTATTATAATATTGACGATTATTTGTTAGACATTTTGTAAATTTGAACTATAAAATTTATGGAATAGAAACCACAAAACTTTATCTGGCTTTATCATTTAATTTTAATGCATGTACACAATACAAGACATGTATGCATATATATATATATATATATATATATATATATATATATATATATATATATATATATATATATATATATATATAAGGATTTTTATTAAATTATTAAGACCTTTATAACCCATATATCCCAAACGAATACATACCTAAATCTACTTGTTTTCACTGTTTTTACACATCGATAAATTCGCTATACTCCAACAATGGCAAATGTGTCTGATATGGTAAATATGCAAAAAAGAACTGGAAGAAGGCTGGTGTCAGAAAATGGCTGATTTTGAAAGACGCTGGAAGGATGAATTCACTCCTAGTAATTCTACATTAACACAGTTAAAAGAAGAGTTTTATGCCTTTAAAGAACTCGTAAGTGCAATTCTCAACCTTCTTAAGCAGCTTATCTAGGAATGTGTCAAGAATATAGTTGTCATAGCTATGTAGCAACATCGGAAAACTCATCTTTTTTATGGACCACCTGAGGCATCTGATACTGGTACAGCAGATCAAATACTTCAATTAATAAACAACAGGATGGGTCTGTCACATATTACAGTAACCTACTTTGAAAAGTGTTATAGACTCAGTTCTCAGCAGAGTGATCATATTAGATCTGTTCTTGTATTCTTTCAGAATTACCATACAAATTTGGAAGTAGGGCGATCAAAAACTAAACTAAAAGTTCTTCTATATCCGTTTGTGAATTTCTTACTAGGGTGTGGGAATCAATTCGCAGAACAGCCAGAAAACATTTTGAAGTTAAGAATATATGGACTCCTAATGGTGTAGTTTATGTTAAGCATACAGGTGGTCATAATAAGGTTATAACAATGGAAAGATTAGATGCTTTAATGGCCAAGTACCCCAGTTCCCCAGATCAGAGCACCAATATTATTTCAGTGGGTATATGTGCCGCTAAAAGTAATAAGAAAGGTAAGCAAAAACTGCATGGCTCATGTGGTAATAACCATGTCCATGGAACAGTCCAACGCGTAGTAACTGCTGTGGCTCATATTGATGACTCCAAAAGACCACGGTGACTTGCCGTTAAGAAGTAGATTTGCGGTTCTTGGTGTCCGAATTCTTTGTGATGAGTGACTATACATGGTACGATATTGTAAACCGCAGTTTAGTCCAATTATTGCCATAAGTAATATGAATAAAGTCTATCTATTTTAATTTTGGTCTGCCTTTACCTAATTTTACCTTTTTTAACTTTGTTACTTTTTTTATTTTGGTTCATAATATGTTCAACATTACAATCATTAACTATTTATAGGTTATATTTGTTGTTGATTACGGATATAAGATTTACGATACAACATAATATGTAATATGCATAAAGTATTGATCTATTTTAATTTTGGTCCGTCTTTACTTAATTTTACTTTTTTTAACTTGTATTTAATATGTTGAACATCACAATCACTAACTATTTATAGGTTTATTTGTTGGTCATTGCAAGATATAAGATTTACCATACAACATAATCATCCTGAAGTTATATTTTATATTTTGTAAATTACTAGATTTTTTATTGGTAATAGATAAGAGATGTTGTTAAGAACAAATATTAGCTTCTTTTATAGTAAATTAGAAATAACAACACCTTTTTACAACAACTAGAGGTTCTTTGCTTTGTTTTGGTGTGTAGTATTGTTTAATTATTTAAAATATGATTGATATTATATTACAGTAGATTTACACTGAAACATATTATTCAAATAATTTAAATTCATATTTGAAAATAATCAGTAACTGTATCAAGCATCACATTTTTTATTGCTCTTTTTTCATTGATGAGACGCAGATCCTTAAAACACACAGCTAATTAAAGTTTATAAAAATGTTCAGTGCTAGTATAATTTGCATATTAAGCAGTTGGAGTATCATAATATTTACCTAATTTAGTAAAATTTATACTGCTGGAATTAGTGAAACACCATATCTTTTTATTGTGTTTTTTTACAGTTATTGAAGTTTTAAGACCAAGTTGAAATTTAAATTTATTTTTAATCTATACATTTTATTTATAATGTGTTTATTTTACCTTATTTTGTCACTTGTTAAAGATTTTAGGTCTTTACTGTTATGAGCAATTTGACTACGTTTTGTTTATAGTATCTATCACTTAGATTTACTTTCACGTATTAACAGTCAGCTAATGGAATGGTGTTCTACGGTGGTATATGGCATTTTAATATTATTTTTATATTTAATGTTTAATAGTGTGTAGTTATTATTCTTAGATATATTTACTTCTAATATTTATTCAATTACATGACTCCTATTTAATGGACCCTACAATCCGGTCTCGGACTATATTGTACCTAACTTCGTTGCAGTCACCGCAAATTCCTGTCTTCCAATTCTCTCCTGTGAGCCAGGATGACATTAAAAAAGCTGCCGTTTCAGTCAATTCCAGGGCTTTAGGTTGTGATGAAATAAGTAGACATTCATGGTAATCAATATACTAAAGTACATTCTCCATGATGTCACGCACGTTGTCAATTTTTCACTGGACAGTATCCAACTCTCTGGAAAAAGGCTTTTATCCGACCTCTTCCGAAAGTAACTAATCCTACGTTATCCAGTCACCTACGTCCCATATCTATATTGTCCTTTCTATCTAAAGTTCTAGAAGCCTGTGTTTATAAGGAAATATCCAAATTTATATTTGAACATAACTTACTGACTGCTTATCAGTCTCGGTTTCGTTCTAGTTACAGCATCACTACATCATTACTTAAAGTTACTGAAGATATCAGAAATAATATGGAAATCAAGAAAGTTACTGTATCGGTGCTTGTTGACTTTTCTAATGCTTTTAACACGGTTGATCACTATATCCTATTAGCCATTATTTTCCATTTAAGATTTGCACTTTCAGCTTTGGAGTGGTTTGCTACCTATCTTCGCGGGTGCCAGCGGTCGGTTCATATAGGTTAAGAGTGTGGTGGAGCCACGTGTTTAAGGCTGCCGAAAATCTAGTTCCCCGGTCAAACCTCAAACCTATTACGCGAGATATTAACTAAAGTGGACTGTATATGCGATTGCTTCTACGCTTACGTT